TTCCTAAAATGGAGCAATAAAGATACTGGCATGTGATATATCTAAAAAAATTTTATTTTTTGTTTCTTCTTATAATTTAGTAAGTGTCTTCACTAAGGCCTCAACTTTTTCTTACTAAATTTATGCTTTACTATTTTATGACTTACATGGTTCTTACAAATTTATGAAGGCAATCACTTTCATTATATTTTATAATTCCTAATTGTGTATACGTAGGGGTATTGGTATATTTATTTTGTGAAAGTCACTTTGCCAAACGCTTATTATTTCTTGCTAATTGTATTGTTTTCCTCTTTGACAGTGTAGCGTACAATTTAGCAGAATACCTAATACCCTTAATAAATGGGCTTTATAATAAAATTCTGGTGTAAAGAATTTCACAGAACATTGAAGTTCTTTCTCATTCTATAACTTAGATGAAAAAACTGTGTGTTTAGGAACATAATGTTCCATAGTCTTTAAGGACCAGACGTAATTAAGAACTATGGAAGAAAGGTGGTTTTACAGATTGGATTATACCAACATCTGTAAATTAGGACTCTAATTGCGCAAATTCTCATTTCTGGGCCAATTCCACTACAACTCCAGACCATTTCAATTGCGTGCAAAAAGTTACAGAGCCATAAACCCAAGACCAGTTTTACATGGGGATATTTCCTACATTTTCTCCATTTTCTTTTCCTGGAATTTGTAAATAAACTAGAATTCATTTAATAATAGCATTTGATTCTCAGCTCTCATTTAGTAAATACAATTTAGTAAATAATTGTTTTAGATAGAAATGGGCTAATTCAATGCCTTAAACTAGGAACTTTTCTTCTTTTCCTGATCCTGCAGCCTTTGTAGTTGAGGTATCTGTCACTTTGCTCTTCTACTATGGAAACAATAGTGGGTATGTCTCATTAAAATAAAACTTACCCATTTATTATAATGTGAACAGAACACAGATCCTGAAATGATAATACCTTACTGAGCCTGTTTCTTCATCTGTAAAATGGTATAATAATAGAAAATGGACTGGAAAATATGTGTGTTCCATAAACATTTGTACAATAATAAACAAATGCTAGCTATTTTTATTAGTCAATTTATTTATTCTCTATAAAATATTAAAACCACAATTACTGTTATATATTATTCATTTCCTAATTTCCGGCTTGAAATCACCGAACAATATTTAATAAATGTGCCAGTATGCCTGGAGCTATGCTAACTAATAGGCAATTTACAGATTCATTTTTTTGCTACCTTTTTATAAGGCTTAAATTTAAGGAAAAATCATAATCCAGAACTTGCTTGGGGTTTTTAAAAATATGCAGAAATTTATTAGGAAATGTTTTCTAAGTCAGCATGAGATATTTGTAGACATGAAATTCAATTTGTTGTTAGGGACTTTAAGCCATACCTTGATTAAACAATTAGTTATAGGAACTTATTAATAAATAATGTACACTTACGATTCATTTATGATGCATTATATTATTTCTCCTTTGAAAAAGTGATTTTTCTTTAATTACTAATTATCACATTACACCAATAGACAGCAACACAGGAACTAATATTAAATCCTACCTAGGATATGAAAAAAGAAAGCTTGATCCATAAATTAAGAGGCTGTTTCTACATGATAGCAAGACATTTCAGCAATTATGCCAATTCAGTGAAAATCAGAAAAATAAATTATGTTTCACTGAATTTCTGCATTGAATTCACAGTAGTTGCCTTACTGAATTGACACTTTTTTTTATTTGACAGAAAAATGGTAGTTATTAATAAAAGGAATGTGTGAATGTAGTAAAAACTGTGATAAGGGATATTTGAATTCTCTTTGAACATTATGAATTTGAATATGTAGCATATATTATCAGAAGAGATCTATCCTCAAGTTAAATGCTAGCATTTTACGATTGAATTCACACACACACATACACACACACACACACACACAAACACACATGTTCATGCACTTTGCTGCTTTTGCATTATGAAGAATCAGATGGAAATATTAACTCTATAACTTTTTCATTAAACAATTATGAATCATAGGATATATCAGAAAGCAAATTTATTTTGTTTGTTTCTGCCCTTAGAATTTTATCTGAATACTGCTAATGTTCTGTTTCTTGATTTAGGTGCTGGTTGCATAGGTGTATTCCATTTGTGAAAACTGAGCCAACTGTACATTTATGAGAGAAGCTTTTCTTTCTGCATGTACATTTTACTCCAGTAAAAAGGTTTGTAAATGTGTCCATGTTCAAATATTAATCAAAACTGATTTAAAGTGAATCTCTTCTCCACCATTTGGGTCCTTTAATTAGTGAGAACCTGGGAAAGTGAAGGTGGTCTTTCTTCCATTTCTAATGCTTCCATTTCCTCACCCCATCTTGTTAAATAAAATTTACAGGTTCATTTTTTGCCACCTATCCATGGTCAGATGAAGAAAAGAGAAGAGGTTAAGAGGTCGTATTATTCAGGTTTCTCCAGAGAAACAGAACCAATAGTATGTGTCTACATAGAGCGAGAGAAATTTATTTTAAAGAAGTGTCTAACTGTATTTTGGGGACTATAAAATCTGAAAACTGCAGGGCAGGCCAGCAGGCTAGAGACACAGGGAAGAGCTGACGTTGCAGCTAGAGTTCAAAGTCATTCTGGAAGCAGAATCCCCTGTTCCTTGGGGGATACAGTGTTTTCCTTTCAAGGCCTTCAGCTGATTGAATGAGACCCACCCACATTATGCAAGGTAATGGGCTTTACTCAAACTGTACCAATTTAAATGTTAATCTCATCTAAAAAGATACCTTCACAGTGATATCAAGACAGATGTTTGGCCAAATATCTCAGTACCATGGCCTCGTCAAATTGACATGTAAAGTTAACCATCACAGTAGTCATGAAGTTCTTATTTTACTTTTTTCTCTTTCAAGTTGGTTACATACCCTCTGGGCAGAGGAGATGTTTAAATATGACTCCTTATCTCTTTGGTGCTTTCCTAGATTCCTGCATGCCCCACCAGGAACAATTGACTGCACTTCCCATGATCTAAGATGTTCCCTTTCACTGGCCAGCCTCACTCAGATCTTGTTTTTATTATTGTATCTATTGCTGTTATAATTGTTTTAAATGCACCCTGTTCTTTATTTGACTATCTTTTCCCCTTCAGAAGTTATGCAGGCAGGATTTTAAATGGTTCCAGTGTGGCTCTCTCTCCCATTTGGTCATATTTGTTCCAACAAAGCTACCTCTACTTCTGCTCACTGGATAGCAGAGAGCTAGCCTATCCCTTGGTGTCTTCATTTCCTGGTGGAATTGTATACGGATCCACTAACATCTAACTGCAGAAGATACACATTAAGTCCTCTGAACGGTATCTGTGAAACCCCTTTCATAAAGCTTGGGATGATACCCACTCCTCAATCTGGGAATCTGAATCATTAGCCTAATGATAAACTAATTAAATTGGCCTCCTTGTGCTGATAGGCTGGCTTTTGCATTAGTTTTATTCTTTAGGCATGTCCTAGTTTGTGAGAACAAGTAAACAAAACACATCTTTCCTTGTAATTATTACCAAACACTTACCTTATGGAGAAGATGCTTAAAATCTTTCTTGAGATTTAGCACAGAACTCCAATATTCCAATATGGGTTGGCTTAAAGGGAGTAGGATTTAACAGTCCAGCTCTTTATAGAGTAATCCTTCAAAAAATTCTCTGCTAATCTATCATAATCAAAATCTTTAAAAAAGTAGATGTGGATAAGGGGCTTAAGAGCCATATAACTTTTTCTTCCAACAACTACATTATTTTAGGTGGCCTAACAAATAATAACTTTGGGATCTAATCATATTGCCTTATTTTCCTGGCCAAAACTCCCCTTAACAGTCCATTGAATAGTTTATAAATTGAATATTTGACTTGTGATATCTGATCCAGCTCTCACTGATATCTTTTTGAAGAGCAGTGTTTTCACACACACAGGCACACACCTATTTAGTCCATAAATTGATGGGGTAGAAAAAAAATCTCAACATGTTTTGTGAAAGTTCGTCTTAGAAGTCATGTCATGTTTCTCTTCCATTAGAAGAAGACTAGCCATAATGTTTTTTCATTGCCAAATGGACTATTAGAATATAAGGAAAGATTGCATAGAGGAAAATATGTATTATGTGTCATAACTGTTGATATAGAAGATTGGAGGAAAAAGTCCATTATGTGTTATAATTGTTGATGCAGAAGATTGGAAACAGTCACTGGCAGAGTAAGAGGCAGGAAGGAGTAGGAGAAGAAAGGGCAGAGAGCAATAATACTTATCCAGTGGGTAGGCCATGCACAGAAGATATAAAGTCAACTGCAGTTAATTGTAACTGAGTTGAAAAAGATGAGCTCACATCCAAAAAGTATCACAGAAAATTCGAATGTGTTGTGCTATTAGAAGGGGAAGGGTGAAGGTAATGACATATTCATTCCAGAGATACAGGAAGACAACTTAGGTAGGTACCAATTGTAAGGCCTGAAATTGGAGAGTGAGGCCTCAGACATAGGTTCAGGATTTTCATCCCCTAGGTCATCCCCTAGGAAAGATCTTTAAATGGTAAAAACCCATAAAGGACTCTAATCCTAGGAATACTGGAGTTCTGTGCTAAATCTCAAGAAAGATTTTAAAGCATCTTATCCATAAGGTAAGTGTTTGGTAATAATTACAAGGAAAAATGTGTTTTGTTTACTTGTTCTCACAAACTAGGACATGCCTAAAGAATAAAACTAATGCAAAAGCCAGCCTATCAGCAAAGGAAGGCCAATTTAATTAGCTTATCTTTAGGCTAATGATTCAGATTCCCAGGATAATGACCATTATTTTCCAGATCTTCAGTTTACTAGTTGACATTCCTTTTGTTGCAAGTGAGAGAAACATACCAGAGACCAACAGAAGAAAACAATGCAAACCAAGCCAACTAGGTTTTTCATGAATCCAGGGCCTAAAACTGTTAAGCTATTGCCAGGTCTTTCACTCTCCATTCTCTTTGCTCTGTTTCTTTTTATGGGTTGACATCAGCCTTTCTGCAACTGAAAAAAAAAAAAAAGAAAGAAAGAAAAGAAAGAAAATATAAAAACAACCCCGTGGAAACATTAATAGTAAAAGGAAAGGTATTTCTCTAAAACACAATCTTAGGCCAATACTGGGGCCTTTAGTCAGCAAGCGTATTGAGAGTTGATTATATCCTAGGGACTGGTAAGAATAAGTTTTGAATCTAGACTTCAGGACCTAATGGGTCTGTAACTTAGATGACAATAAAATTTACTCATATTTAGTTTCTTTATAGACAAAATAAGCATAGAGGTACTTTGAAAAGTTGTTAGCATTAATGAAAAAGTATACCAAGTGCCATACACTGTCTAGCACACAGCAGTGCTTCAATATATAGTAGTAACAATCAGTACCTATAACAGAATCCCTAAACCACACCAAAAGTGTTAATGGTCATAATGGTATTCACTCTCATCCCTCAACCAGTATTACAGATACTAGAACTAAGACTTACCGAGAACTTTCACTTTGTAAGGTCTTTGCAAGCGTATGCCTGTTATATGCCCTTGACCGTTTCTTTTGATAGTGCAGATACCAAAAATGGTACACAGGCTCCTTCCCACCACTGCTGTACTATTGGCTCTTCTCACTGTAGCCAATACTGATGTTTCAAAGCAGGTTTCTCCCAAGCTATTATGATTCTCATACACTGTGAAAGGAAGTCTTCCTTGTCTGTTTCATAGCTTATTCCCTTTCTTCCAACTTGAAATATGTTTCACAGAGACTGGACAGAGTTTAAGAAACTCCCACCTTTGTCAGAATCAGGAATTTTTATCTCTACCAATAATCATTCAGTGTCCTGAACTAAGATATATGAGTCTTGATTATCTCTTATTTCTGAGTGTGTTCTCTTCTTTCTCAGAGTATATCACCATTTTTAGAAAATGGTGTGGCCAATTTTATTTATGACTTTTAAGACTCGTTTCTCATAGTATAATAGCTTGTTGCTGTTGTTTCCAGAAAGACAAGAAAGTCTATATGCTAACAGGCCCCTGTTGTCCAGCTACCATACCAAGTCTTGGATGGAGATGTACAGATCACATAATAGGGGCCCATTGCTAACAGAAAACAAATCAGAAGCACAGAAAGATTCCTCAAAAGAGGGAGCAGTACTTGTCTTTTTTTTTTTTCAATACTGTCATTGGTTATGTTTCAGGCTCATTTATTTACTTATTTTATTAGTGTTATTTTACCCTTTTTCCAAGGTTCACCAAGAATTATCATTTGCCCATATTTGCTTAGTCTTTCTTTTTTTTCTTTTGCTGAATCTTATGCTATTAAGTGGCAGATATCATGACACCGGACCCCTAAATATTTCAGCACACATTCCCTAAGAACGGTGAATTTCTCCTACATAAACACAATGTCATCACACCTGAGAAATTCAAGTGTCTGAATGATATCTAAAGTAAAGTACAATGTATATTCAGTTTTCCCTAACTGTCCCCAAAACGTCATTCTAGAGCTGTCTTTTTATTTTTTTAGTCAGGAATGACAGTTCCTACGTTGTACTTGGTTGCCACATCTCTTTAGTCTCCCTTAGTCTACAAAGTCCTCTCATCCTTTTTCACACTCTGAATATGTCTAATTATTCCCCAGTGACTGGATTCAACAATCATTGCTGGGAGCGGGGTAGGGGGCAGCTGTGCACCTCACTCCCACTCCACCCGGAGACAGACAGTTTGTTCCAGCAACGCAGTTTGGTCACTTGGTTGAAGTGGTATCTACCAGCTCTCTCCACTAGGAAAGGAACCTCTTTCTCTTTGCAGATAATAGTCATCTGTGAGATTACTGTGACTCCAATTTTTTCAACCCACCCAATCCTTTACAGTATTTCTCGTCCAGTTCAGGCTGCAGTTGAGGGACAGGTATCACCTTTAGTTGTCGTGTCTCTTTGGTCTCAGTCTGAAACTTCCACAGCCTTTCTTGATCTTTTGAGACATTGATATTTTTGATATTTAAAACCTAAATCAGATCATGTTCCCTTGGCTTAGAACGATCTCCTTTACCTCCTTCAGGCCTCAAGAATGCTCAGGGGAGGCAGTCGACCAGTTATTCAACACCTACTGTGCACCTGCTAGATTCTAGACACGGCCCTGGCACTGGGATGTGGCAGCAGGCAACACATACACAAAGCCGGCCCTTCTCGAACATGAAGTTCTGGGGAGAAGAGGGACACAGCCACCACACGAGCATTCAGGTAACAATGCGGGAGGTCAAGGAGGTGTAGCACCTCACAGAACATAAGGCAGGAAGGGAAGGATGAGGCGGGGGTGTGGGGGGCAGGGATGAACTGTTTTTTTTGTTTTTTAAAAAATATTTCATTTATTTATTTATTTTGGGGGGCTGCATTGGGTCTTCGTTGCTGCACACAGGCTTTTCTCTCTAGTTGCGGTGAACGGTGGCTACTCTTCATTGCGGTGCGTCGGCTTCTCATCGTGGTGGCTTCTCTTATTGTGGAGCTTACCTCTAGGTGCACGGGCTTCAGTAGTTGTGGCGTGCAGGCTCAGTAGTTGTGGCTCAGGGCTTAGTTGCTCCACGGCACGTGGGATCTTCAGGGATCGAACCCGTGTCCCTTGCATTGGCAAGCGGATTCTTTTTCTCTTTTTTTTTTTGCTGTACGCGGGCCTCTCACTGTTGTGGCCTCTCCCGTTGAGGAGCACAAGCTCCAGACGCACAGGGTGAGCAGCCATGCTCACGGGCCCAGCTGCTCTGCGGCATGTGGGATCTTCCTGGACGGGGGAACGAACCCGTGTCCCCTGCATCGGCAGGCAGACTCTCAACCACTGCGCCACCAGGGAAGCCCGCAAGCAGATTCTTAACCACTGGACCACCAGGGAAGTCCCAGGAACTGTTATAGAGTGGCCAGCAAAGTGACAGCTGGAGCAGAAACCTGTCAGCCTCATCCAGGATGAGCACCTCGATGCTGCTCAGGTGGAAGGAAGGGCAGTTGTGGAGGTGATCAATGAGCCGGCCCGGGGTGGCGATGAGGATGTCAGGCGCTGCCCGGAGGGCTGCTTCCTGAGACTTCACGTCCACGCCGCCCACAGCCAGGCAGGTGGTGATGCTGCAGAACTGGGCCAGCTGCTTGGTGACGGAGTGCACCTGGATGCCCAGTTCCCGGGTGGGAACCAGCACCAGCACACGGGTCACCGGAGCCTGGTGGGGTTTGTAGATCAGACGCTCCAAGACGGGCAGGGCAAAAGCCGCAGTTTTACCTGTCCCAGTGGCTGCACAGGCACAGATGTCCTTCCCCAACACACCCACAGGTATGCATGCCTTCTGGATCGGTGTGGGGTCCTTGAAGCCCATGGCTGTGATGGCCTTCAGAAGAAGGTGGGAAAGGTTCATGTCCTGGAATGAGAGGTTTTCATCATACTGAGATGCATCTTCAAAAAATCCTCCTGCTTCCTGTCCTTTCTTCTTCTGCTGCTCCTTTGCTTTGAGTGTATCTGCTTTGGTGAGGACGTTCTCATCAGCTGACGAGTATTCAGTCTCTGATTCTTCATCTTTTGTGGCTTCCTCATCTTTCCCTTCAAAGTCTTCCTGCTCCTCAGGTTCAGAGCCCTCCTTTGCTTCTTTCTCCTTCTCTAACTTCCCAGACTTGGCTTCTTTATCCTCTGTTTTCCTTTTCTTTCGAGCTTTCTCAATCTTCTCATCTAATGTCGTGGCTGCCCTCTTCTTCTTGAGCTGGCTTATGACGTCAGCCGTGACCCAGCTGCCATCGTACATCCCCTCCTTCTCAGTGAAAACAAAGTCAGGGTTGAAATCGGCACTGCGGTTCTTCTGCAAGGCTTTCTGCTTTCTGCCCAGCACAGTGGGCCCCTCCTCCTCCTGGTCTTCGGAGTCAGTCTCTGGCTCCACTGGCACCTCATCATCTTCGCCTATGGTCCCGATTAAACCCAGCTCCGCAAGCATGTCGCCGCAGCAGCCACCCCCGGAAACCAGCGCGGCGCGCTAGGCTCAGTACTTGTCTTTAGGCTCCCTCTCTCCTGAGACAATGTAGGTTACAAACTGCAAAGTCAAGAAGATCCAGTGCTTCCACCTTGTACTTTAGGGAGTTTGTCTTAACAGTCAGGGTCATGGCAGGAAATAGCACACCAAAGATTTTAAAAGAGTTCAGTGAAAGGTTAATTTATAGAGATGAATCTTGATTGAGGGAGAAAATACCCAAATAATAGCCAGATAGCAAAGATATTTGGTGATACAGTCTGGAGAAGTCAGCCTCCTAAAGCACATGGCATTGGAAAGAAGGACACATAAAATACATATAGGTAAAAATGGGGATGGACCAGCACAGTCCACCCATGTGTCATTTGTATTCCATTTTCATCCTTTTATTTAGATAAAAAGCTACCATATGCAGAACAAAGCAAACACACACTCTCGCGTGCCACTTTGTCATTGTCTTCCAACTGACTTGCCCTCCACTGGCTCTTCATCTGATGCCACCAATGGTCATGACATCAATTTTCAGTGTCAGTATTGTCCATTCAGTCATTCAATTTACATACACCAAAACCCAGAAGTCCATTCTGAGGGTTTGATTCTTGAGTCCAACCCTGCTACCAGTTATTTTCTCTATCAGAATTCTACCAGAAAACAGATTTCATCTTCAAAAGTTTAATTAAAGAGAGTACAAGAAAGGATAATTTATAGATGTATGGACAGGGCTAACGGAACCAATGAAGAATAATAAAATGCTCAGAGATTAGCAACTTCATGGAACATTAGTATCATTATACCTGAATGGACAAGGGGAAGAAACAATGATTTGGAATCTCTTGAGAGCAGGAGATGTCTGTCGCAAAGACTAAGTCTTAGGTAGATGAATACAACCACTGACCAAACCATAACCTGGCAGAGAAGGAACAAAGGAAATAAATACCCAACCTCTTTCTTTTCCCACCTTCAAATCTCTGGCAGTGCATGTCACTGACTAAAACCATATAGAAGCCAGAAATCAAGAGCACCTGGATGTTGTCTTTTATAACATTTATCCTCACGGGTTGCAGAGTAGGGCAGAAAAGAATGGAAAGTGAATCGAGATTGCCATGCAGAGAAAACTAGCATTATCTTTAACTTGTCTCTTCTAAATTAAAAGTTAATCAATAATGTCTTCCAATTGGAAGTTGAACATAGTTATAAAGGTTTGGAACAGAAAATCTTACCGCATAAGTAAATATCACCCTGGGTCCCAAAGGAACTCTGATGAGATTTTTATTTTCTTTCCTTTTAAGTAACTAATTGCCTGATTTCCAATGCTTCTATCTCACTGAGACTCCAGAATGAAAAACAAAATGAGTAAAATATGGTTACCTATTGATTAGGCCATTAGAAACATATTTCACAAGTTCCTCCTGTATAATCAACACAATGAAAGGCATTTAAAACTATATATTGAAATTATTTAATAGGAGATATTTGGTATTCCTCTAGGACAAAGAGAGAGGAATATAACATTGGAGAAAAAAAAAGTTGGGAAGGCTATTATCCAAAAATCAATCAAAATGTTCAAAATTACATAAGGGAAAAGTCTCATTTGTTTTCAGAATGACAAATCTATGCTGCTTCAGTAATGGCTACGAAAGTCAGATGCTTGCTTTGCTCTAGTAGGGAAACATATCCATCATGAGGCTTAATACCCATATGTGTACTTTCTCAAAAGCTTTGCTAATGCCTGCTGATTTACCTGCAATACATTTCCCAGAAACTGTTGAGTAAAATGACAACGTATATATTTAGTTTCACACTTCAGCCTGTCCAATTAGCAGTGTTTGCAGTACCAGCTGTGAGCCCAGGAGAGGATTTAATTTTAAGTACAGCAGTCTAGTTGACAACAAAAAACAAAACAAAACAAAACACTGAGCCATGAATTTGCCAAGTGTTAGTTTCCAATCATTTGTTTCTGAGAAATAGCTCTTTATTGCTATTATTGAAAATTGCTCAAAGAACTAGCACATGAAATCCTGTGAAGAAGAGGCATGAGGCAGGCTGCTGTGGTAGCCACCATAACTGGTAATGTGATAATTACCAGGATGTCTCTAGCAGACTCCCTACTCTCACTTAACCTTGGTTCAATCATCTGAACAATGCAAGTCCTTCCATGCTCATTTTCATTGATTATGAAATGAGATTAAAGAGGCTTTGAAAACAATAAAGTCATCTAAAATACTAAAACATGGGGGAAAAAAAGGAAGAAGAAAGACGGCCTTTTACACAAAAAGAAAGCAACCTGGTAGATTTTCTCTTCTTCACTTAATATTTAGGCAAAATGTAAATACTAACTGCTACTTGGGGAATATATTGGAAGGCAAAAGATGGTACCAGAGGCAGTACTATTAAAAGGTATGTATTAATTTAGAGATACCAAAGGAGTTTATGAAGTCTAGTCTTGGAAATATTTAAAAGGTGACCAGAAAGTCATCTATTCTGAGTAATATTGACCAAGAACAGGAAATATTTCTAACAACTTTTTTACTATCTATGGCAGAGATATAATAATAAAAAATATCTAAGTGATAGTAGATTAAAATTGTCTCTATAGATTGTGGTTTTAAAAAAGCATAAATATTAAATCTGATAATCTTTTCCTTTAAAATTAATTTTAGGGTCCAACTACAGGAAAGAGAAAGTAGAACCACAAAAACAAAATATTTGAGAGAAAATGAATTTAAAAAGTATCAAAACCCAACTGAAATAACTATATAAATGTATAATGAAACAGTTATGATAGGAAATAGTTTTATTACTGACAAAAATTTTAAAAATGATCCAAGCCTGCAAATATGGAAGTAGGAAACCAAATAACAGATGAACCAAAGAAAAGAGAAGAAAAGAATTAATAATGATGTAGGCAGAAAGGAAAAACAATACAAGTAATTAAATCTATGGATAGAAGTTTGAAAATGAGACAAAATATACATTTTAAAAATTAAATGTTATGTGTATAGAAGTGAAAATGCATTTATGCATATATGAATGTTATATTTTACAAGACATAGTCATATGGTTAAAACTTCTGTAAGGCTTTTTTTTCCAGATAGGAGTGTCACCAGGGACTTCCCTGGTGGTCCAGTAGGTAAGAATCCGCGCTCCCAATGCAGGGGGCCCAGGTTCGATCCCTGTTCGGGGAACTAGATCCCACATGCATGCCACACCTATGAGTTCACATGACGCAACAAAGATCCAGCGTGCCTTAACTAAGACGTGGCACAGCCTAAATAAATATTAGAAAAAGAAGTTAGTGTGCTTAAAATTTTAAAAAAAAGTGTCACCAAATTTCCATGTATCAGCTATGATAGTAAAAGATGACAGTTATAATACAAATCCAGAAGCCTTAAAAGAGGTTCCTAAAAGTTATGTCACAATGATTGTTACCATTACAGGTAGTTTAGCAAATAAGATCTTTGGCTGCAGAGATCATATCCATATGGCCAACACTTACTTAATAAAATGTTACCCATAAATTCTCTGAATTACATTGTTATATTCTACTACAAATCTTTAAATTTTTAAAATTAAATCTTTAAATTTTTTTTGGTAAATGTATATCCTAAATATTAAATGGACATACTTACATTAAAATATCATATTTGTGCTTTACCTGAAAGTATATCTAAAATTATCTACTTAAAGAGTTTTATAATTACCTGAGACTGCTTCAACTCTTCCATTTATGAATTTCAGCAACTGGTACCCATTTGATTCATATAGAAACTGTTTATTCTTCCTTTTCTATTTAGGAAACATATAATAATTGCTTGCTGGGTATCAGAATATGTACCAAATACTGGAGATACAACAGTAATAATGCATAACTTAATTAAACCCACTGACTATTGAAAAACATAACTGATAAACCTCTGTAATAATAGATTAGCAAATATGTGAAGTAACAAGGAGGCACAGCTAAACTTCTTTTGGAGGTGAGAGAGATCAAGGAAGTATTTTCTGGAGTCCTGTAATGTCTACTGGTGTGGTCATGAAAGGATAGAGGTTGGGGATGGACAGCATCTCCACAGAAGAGATTACTTATCAAAGTCTTTCAGAATTTTTTTCTAACAAGTACAATATTTTTACTAGTATTTCTAAATTTCCTTTCCCAGTATCAAATGAGATATATTTTATTGTCAACAAATTTCAAGAGCATGTCCAGTGCAGTGACCAAAACAGATGTTTTAGTTTTATTGAATCCAGCAAATCTAAACAAACTCCTGCACGAGCCTTGCTCAACTGTGTTTTGCTGCTGGTAGCAGGTGAATTTTAACTGCTTCCTGGCTGTGTATGATAGACCTCTGACCAAATTGTTCCTCTTTGGCTTACCAGTTTAGAGACCTTGAGAAACTGATTTAATCTTCCTGAAAATATTTGACTCTGGCATTAATAGTATTACTTAGCACAGAGACTTGATATGTTATTTAAATGAAATATTTAAATCGTCTGGAACAGTTCAAGGCACATAGCAGGCACCCAAAAATTAAATATTAATGTTAGTATTATTGTTCTCTAAATATCAAGTCTAGAAAAATACAACTTACAGTAGACATTGACAAATATGTAAATTGTATCATTCTTATTTCTCACTAGCTATTTAAAAGGCAATGTTGGTTAATTTAAGAGTTAATCAAATGCTCTTATATGACTCAGTTGTTTTTTTTAATGCCCTCCAGAAAATTGTCTGTATTATAAGCAGAAATTCATTTTAACTGAAGACTACATCATAGCAGATCTTTCCTTGTGCACTTTGCAATAGTCTTTGTGCCAAAGCAATAAAATACAACATAGATATGTAAATGAAAATAAATAAATAAAATTAAAAACTAAATGCTAATTAGCCTATCAATAAAAAGTAAGCAACCTACAAATACAAACTAACCTATCAATAAAAAGTAAACAAGGGCTTCCCTGGTGGCGCAGTGGTTGAGAGTCCGCCTGCCGATGCAGGGGACAGGGGTT